CTTCGCAAGTAGTGCTCGCGTCGACTTTACGAGTCGCGTGAGGTCCCGGACTTGGTAAAAAAAAAAAAAAAAGTGGAGGATCGGTTGGTGCCCGCATTTTGTCTTTGACGGGCTGGGTTTCATCCAGAATTGTTTTGCGCAGTCGAAAGACTGACAATAGGACATCAACTTGATTTGTGTCCTCCTTTTGACTCTTGATATTTAATGCCATGATCGGGTTTAGAAGTCCATACAGCTGCAGTAGGTTCATCTTGTCGTCAGCAATTGGAAATGGTTCTGGCGCTGACTTTCGCTCACGAATAGCTTTATCAATACGTTCTTGGAACCAGTCTTCGAGTTGGTCCCATTTCTCTAGCAAGCGGCGAAAGACCTTAGCGAAACCCATGAATTTGTGCTCTTTGTGGTCAATCAGCTGTGTGGTAGCACCAGCGTTTACCATTTCGCAAAGCTCTGAGAACAAACTCCCCATTGAAGCATTGGAACGGACAGCGAATGTTGTACTGGCGATACGAGAGACCAGATCTGTGGCTGGTAAGTTCTTTGAGGCCTTGCGCTGCGAAGCGCTGCCAAACGCGGTTTTTTATCGCAGCTTTCGTGAGATGGGGCATACACCACTCCCATTGGAGGCCAATTCCCTTCGTCATCATCCATTTGACGTCAGGGCCGGAGTCACTAGTTGAGCCATAAAAATCATTGGTTGATAGCCCGAAATCTCTAAGTATCTCTGTGATCCATCGTTTAAACGATGCACGGCTCCCGTTGCTTCTTTCACCATACATCGGTTCATAATGGCGAGTGCCAAGAAGGATCGAATAACTGGAATTCCCAGTTATTGTCGACAAAGTAAAAACCCTCAGACATAGAAATTTGGTTGCCCTCTGCGACTTAGAAGACCAAAAATCGCACACCATTGAAAACGACGCCTAGTTGTTGACTCTGCTGCGTTCAAGATGAGACCGAATAGCCTGTCGAGCACTTATATAAAGCTCTGCAATAGCTCGCGTTACGGTGTGATTGTTGATAGTCGCTCGAAATTCGTCTGGGACTACCAAGTCTGCAAGCAACTCCGATTCGTCGTATTCCCCGATCCGAAACGGGAGATTATTGTTCACTACGCGCATCGTTTCAAGCAACAACGTCATTCTTCTGCTATCTGCCCCATCAGCAATAGCACATCGTATGCGCTCTAGCTCCTCAGCTCGGTCACGTTTCCTCGTGGTTTCTGCTGTGATCTTGCCTGCTGTCAGCAAGTGTTTTTCGCCAAGGTGCTTGGTAGCTTTAGACGTATTACCAAACAGCTGAATTATTTTGTTTTCGCGACGGCATTCGAGACTACCTTGACATATCCAGCACACGTATTTCTTGCCTTCAAGCGTGGAAGTAACGCGTACCCCCCAGTCAAGAATTATCGATCGTTCTCCACGGCGTTTTGGCAGTACCGTAAATCCATCAGCTGGTACATAGTCTCGGATTGCTTGTGTAACATGAATCGGTACAGGTACAGATGAAGTTGAATTAGAAATAATACCAGTTGAAACTGGTGGTCGAAGGTCGGGCATTGGAGATTGTTGAGCCATCTCAGCAATTGTAGACTCCGCAATTGTTGTAGATGAGTCCGGCTCCAGTCTCTGTGCTTGAAGACCTTGGTTCTGACAATTATCATTAGCACCCACCTCAGCGCCTTCATCCCGAGGGCGTTGCCTCCCTTCTTGGGAGCGGTGTAGGCGAAGTAGGCGCTGAATTGTTGCAGCGGT